GGGATTATGGCAGTGGGAGGTTGGTTAGGGCATCTTCTGCTGCTCAGATCCTCCCTCACCAGCTGCCTGTGTGACACAAATGAACTAAAGTCAGCAGTGCTTCGAACACTCCAGGTCAGCCTAACTACTTGTGTGTCACGGGGCAAAGTCCCACACCAGACCCGCGGCCACCCTCTCAGAGCTGATGCTGGCTTTGGTTCCCATCACAGTCTGGGTGATGTGGCTTCGGAAGGCCAAGAATCACAAGCTCTTCCTGACGGCCATAAGCACAAGTGTAAACTCAGAAATCTGTGTATGGGAAGGGAACTGGTAGGAACTAGGAACTGTCTACACATCATCTGAGGAAGTATCATTAAAACTAAGACTGAGGCCTGGAAGTGCCAAATCACTATACTGTGCGCCTGAAACTAATGTTACACTGTATGTTAACTGGAATTTCAATAAAAATGAAAAACAAAAAAACAGAGACTGAGGAAGGGATTGATCGTGTGCCCGGAGTCATTCAGAGGAGATTCTTTCTCAGGGGATTTTACGAACTCTCAGAAGAACCTGACATGTCCTAGGTTTAGTCTGTGCTTGATCAACAAATCGCCTTGAGGATGGAGACTTGGAACTGGTGCTTCTGTTTGACTGAATCTCATGCCTCTATTTGATCAGAACTGGAAGTAAATAAGCCCTGGAAGGGCAGGGGCCATATAAATCCATCTTTGTAGCCTTCCCAGCACGGAATACACACTCAAACGCTCACCACCTTAACTGGCTTTAAATTTTTAGGTTTACACAGTTGATATGGTATAGCTCTCAGAACAGAAAATCTACACCAAAACTATCATTTTAAATGCCCGATAAACACCAATGATTACGATGATTGGACTTGAATGGCAAGGATTTGAAGGTGGTATTGGCAAAGGAAACACAGCTGGCCTGTCTGCCTGAAATCGAGGTAGCAGACTGATGGATAAATGTTGATCAGAAAGATTCTCCCAGAATTCTCTCATCTGATTTCCATGCCAGAAGGTTTGATTACTCTTAAAATCAAGATTACTGATAATTTTGAAAGTGACATGCTTTTTTCTCCCTACAGAAAGGGTTTTGAGAGATTTATTAAGGGTCTGACGCTTCAGACCCTTTAAAGCACACTGCTTTAAAAAAAAAACCTGATTCCTCTTGTACTTTCCTCATAAAGTCATATTCGAATCCCAAATGCCCTAACATATCAGCCAGCACACATTCACTCTGATCCTTTAACCCGGCTACCATTCTGACTTAGCTACCTTCCAGCTAAGTGGTTACAGGGGTTACTTCTCAGGTACGCTACCGCATTTGGGGGCAACTCCTTTTTAAGTACTTGTGAGGCTATTTTTTAAATAATTAGTATTGTGAAAGTGAAAACAAAACTAAGTCCCCCAGTTTCTCTCAAAGGAGATGAACTTACATTTCTTTCCTGAACTCTTCCATTTTTTGGTTCTCTACCGTCAGAAGTTCTTTTGATTTGTTCAGCTCTTCCACATTTTTCAAGTTGTTTTCTTTAAGTGTATCCAACTTAAAGACCAAGAAAAAAAAACTTGATGAAATTATTTCATTTTCCAGTGACATGACTGGATAGACAAATTATTCATGCAAATGTGCACTAAAAAGATAGGTGACATTAGTCACTTGCACCAAAAAAAAGTCACTGGGTGAGATGACAAATGACCACGTCTATTATAAACTGCAAGCCTCCCCCTTACGTTTAGTCAGACATTCCCTGTACACCTGGCAAAAATGTCAAACTGCTACATGAATTACAACAAAAGTTTGCTTTCATTTTGTGTACAATTCTCAATATTTACCATTGAACTTGCTATTCAAGTATGACTCCTCTTAAAAAAAAATAATAAATTGCAAAGGCATGACATGAGCAAGGATTATTCTTTGTAATAAAAAAAAAAAAAAAAAACCCTTTCCTTCCCCACAGATTAGTAATTTCAGATGTATTCGTCAACCTTAGTACCAAATGTACGGAGTCCTGACTACAAAAATTTTCTGAATCAAGTATCTGTAGGTGGGAGAATATCTGATTATCCATCTAACTTTGACCTGAAAAGGAAAAAGCCAGGTAAGTGAGGCCAAAAAGCACGCACATTTGTTCAGCCCCATCACCTGCCCATAGGGGATGCAGCCAGCTTAGGGCCTGGCCCTGGTGGGAACGCCAGACACGATCCTGGAGTGAGTGGGGACGTGACCAACTACAGGCTCTGGCAGGTGACTGGAGTTCTAGGTGCAGAGCCCCGACCAGGAATGGGGAACTCACTTGGGGCTGTCCACTGCCCAGGGTATGCTCCTGGCACCACGGCGGCTTCCTGGGACTTGGGTAGTCCTTTCCTACAGCCAGAGACACCTTTGCCACGTCATATGCCACCTGTCAGGAATCCTAGACAGTGCCTCAATGGCTTTACCACCACAGTATTCCTTTTAATGTCCTCTACCATTATTAGAGGAATCTGGAATTCCAGATTCACAGAACAAGAAAAACCAAGTATCAAAACGGGTCGAAAAAAATAATTCATCCGGTCTTGTATTCTGGTTGTATAACAAGGACACCAAGGGCTATGTCATGAAGGCACACGATTCTCCCCGATCTACCCTCAAAAATTAGATCTATTCCCTAAAATCTTCTCATTTATTATAGCTTCTGTGAGTAATCATCTGATTTTTTAAAATGCTTTTTCTTCTTCTCTTAGGACTATCAGTTCTGAAAATGTACCCCCTTCTATGTCCCATTTTATTCGCCCTATAATTATCTCAAAATGTGCATGTCTTTACAGATTTCCATCTTTGACCTTCCACAGTGAGAAGGCCTAGCCTCTACAAATCAGCTACTCAGTGTGGCTAGCCCTTCCTTTGCTTTAATTCCTTAATGTCTCACCTGACTATCCCTTTCAAAAGCATCTGAACTTCTATAGAACTTCACATAACTACTTTGGCGAATCCGTCTGCTTAGGATTCAGAGGTAACTGCTTCCCAAACAAAGAAAGGGTTGGTATGAGCTGGGAGTGGGGAGGAGGGGGACCAGAAATGGGTCCAGGAAGAATGAGAAATACGCTACTTTGCACAGAATCGGAGCAATCTCGATGCCACAAGTGCGTCTGAGACCCAGAAGTAGCTGTTTGGAGAGGACACAAAAGGGAACCAGGACTGAGTGAGGCCAAGAAAAGGCCTACGTCAAACTCAGGGCTGAGGAGTGGAATTTAGTGGCTCGAGGTGAGAGAGAATTGAGGGGGGGAAATGTGTGTGATTTCGGATCAGAGATACAAAAATGAAGAGTGTTACGAGTACCTCTCTCATCGGTCCCATCACTGAAGTTACCAGAGAAAGCCACGCTACTGGGGTTTTCCCCTCATTTTTTTTTAAAGGTTGATCCTATTAAATGAGTAATGAAGTCATCTACTTTATTTAATGTTATCGTGGTTCTGGTGTACATTCAACTCCACTAACAGATCAAACCTGTACAAGGCCACACTTCAAAAAATAAACAATCCTGAGTTAGTGATCAAACATTCCATGAAGTCGGTAAGCTGTCCTTTGTACAAAAAGCCATTTAAATCTGATTACTTCATTCTGTAGTTTTTCCTTCGTTTGCTTGGTAGCCTCCAAGGAGGCCAGAGCTTCACTCTTCTCTTTGGTCATCTGTTCCGTTATCTGCATGGCGTCTTCTGCCGTTTGAGCAGCCTGAACACAAGAAAGCCCTGTGAGAAATGAGGACAGCCCTCGGCAAGTCCATCGGGGACACTCAGGCTGTGCTGCTCAGGCAGCCCTCACTATCTGTGCGGTTAAGGTGAAGGACCAGCCACCAGTCCAACGCTGAGACAAACAGACCGAGCCACGAAAGGGGAACCAAGTTACAGACCCTTTTCATGGCGTTCTTCAAACAAGCCAACTGCAATTTGCAATTTGTATATTTCCAGACCCTTCCAACCCTAGCTCCAGAGTTACACTGACAGTCACGTTCATCACTCTGACCTATGTTTGAGAGAAACATTCAGTGATAACGAACAGTAACATCCTTATGTAACTGAATTTTCCCTTCGTCATATTTATTGCTGTATGTTTGAAATACTATTCTTGCTATTTCAGATTTGGGGCTTTTGAAATCACCTGTAATTTAGGTTGGGAATTTCTCAACTAAAAAAAAAATTATTTGGGCAATTATTAACATAAGGCTCAAGTGTTTAATGAGAAGCATTAAGTGGAAAAGTCTATGAGAGAAGTTGTGGGTAATGAACATAAACATGACTGTGAATAAAAAAGATCATATGCATACAGACACAAATCCTTAGCTGATAAGATATAAAAATAATCATAAAAAATAAAATTTTTTGTTTATTTCTTGTTTTTCATAAAAAAGAAATTAAAATCTTTTTAGGCACTTGCTTACAATTTCATGTGGTCTGCTAAAGCTGATGGGAATTCTGCGGTATGCCTTCCCTACTACCAGCCATGGGAAAGTTTCCTGGAGTGTTCTAACTCCACTTGGAAAGACACAAGCAGTTAAAAGCCAAATAGAAGATACTATGTTTCACCATGTGCCCATTTTACTATTGTTCTTAATCCTTTAAGAACCACAATTTACTTTTTCAGGAAAATTTTTCCTTAAATTAAAAAATGTATCCTTTTTATTCACAGTTTACAATTCTTTCCAATGGAGACAGACAACTGCAATTAGAGATTTAGTAAAGAACTGGCCCTTTAGGGTGGGGGGATGGGTTAGCCTGGTGATGGGTATTAAAGAGGGCACATTCTGCGTGGAGCACTGGGTGTTATGCACGAACAATGAATCATGGAACACTACATCAAAAACTAATGATGTAATGTATGGTGATTAACATAACAATAAAAATTAAAAAAAAAAACTGACCCTTCAGGTGGTAAAACAACAGCTTGAGACATATGAGCAGCTGCTTAAGTGGGGTGCATTTCCTCACGTGGCCAGGAAGACAAGCCTCCCAGGGCCGCTAGGAAGTTAGTGCCCGGGGTTAGTAGTCCAGGCCTGGTCCCTGACCCTCCCATTTTACCGTAAATGACTGAAGAGTCTCGAGCTCTCTAATTTTAAGAGTGAGCTTGCTCTTGTCTTTCCTCAAAATACGGTTTTCATTTTGTGATTCTAGGAGGTTGGTTGAGATATGGCTGTTGGTTTTGGCCAACTGGCTAATCTCTTTCTGAAGGATGAAGTAGCTTTCCGCCAGCCTTTCCTTCTCCTTCAGGAGCTCCTCCTTGGCCAGCATCACATCTCTCTTCTCGGCCAGGAGGTTCTTGTTGTCCTGTGCCACCTTGGCACCATCGGCCAACGTCATCTCATGCTTCAGTCGGAGGTCGTCCAGGATCCTGGTGAGGTAGCTGTGCAGTTCCTGCAGCTCCAACTTGGATTTGGACAAGGTGGTGAAATCGCTCTTCAGAGTCTCTATATTGGCAGCGAGCCGAGCCGTTTCTGCACTCAAGAGCTCCTTCTCCTTAATTATCTCCACCACTTTCTGTTCTGATTTGGTCTTCTCTTGGACGAGCACAAAATTTTCAGACTGCAGCTGCTTAGTACACACTTGTAACTCTTCCAGCTCCTGCTCTAGGAGCACCATCCTCCCGTGAAGTTTATTGTTTTCATACAGGGACGACTCGTTTTCCTGTGCTCTGGCTTCCTTTTCCAGGATGAAGGACTGCTGCATGGTGTGGATCTCCTCGTTTAGTCTCTGACACTCTTCTTGCAGGCTCAGCCTGTCCCTCAGCAAGATGCTCTTTTCAGAACAGCACGTCTGAAGTTCGGCATTCAGACTCTCCTTTGCTTGCAGGGTGCTCGTATGCTCTTTTTCTAGACTCTTCCTGGCATTCTGGGCCTCTTTCAGCATCAGAGAAAGCTCATGCTTGGTGGCTGCCAGCTCTTGGGTTTCCCTTTTCCTCTCCTGAAGCTCCTTCTTCAGAGTGTCGAGATTACCAAGGAGTTTCATCTTCTCGTGCACTATGATTCTTCTGTTGGCAGACTCTTGATCGTATTTCCTTTTGAGGTCTCCTACGGTTTTCATGGAATTCTCTCTCTCTGCAAGCAAATCTCCATTTTGCATTTCCAGGACAGACTTTTCCTTCAAGAGACTGTCATGCTGCTTTTTGAGCTTAGTAATTTTCTGACATACCACCTCCTTCTCAGAAGTTAGGTAGGTGATCTTCTCGTTCAGGCTCATCTCAATATGGGTGGCCTCTTCCGAGCATTTCTTCAGTTTTTCAGCGATGAGCCTGTTTTCACATAGAAGTTCTTCTTTTTCAGCCAAGAGTCTTCTCTCAGATGAGGCCAAGGTTTCTTTTTCATGAAGAAGCTGGATGCACTCGGAGTCTGTGATCTCCCGACTAGCCTTGATTTCTTCCAGGAGCTTGGTGAGGCTGGTGTTTGTAGCCTGAAGTTGCCTCATCTCCAGCTCAGCCTTCCTCAGAGCCCGCTGGGCATCATCTAGCTGTGTGCGGAGCCCACTGGCTTCTGTGCTGAGCAGCTGCTTGATCTGGAGGGCAGCCTCCAGGCTGGCGCTCAGCTTTTCCTGATCTTGAAGAAGCATGTCCTTCTCAAACTGCAGATCTTTGCTGCTCTGGAGAAGATTTTCTCTTTCCACTTTTAAGGCTATGCACATGTTATCAAGACCTGACTGCTTCTCCAAAGCTGACTTTTTCTCAGTGGTGAGATCTTCAATCTCCTGCACCAAGGTTTTCTGATCTTTGACTAGCTCCTCGTAAGAGCTCTGGAGCTTCTGAATAATTTCATCTTTATCTTTAGCTAAGGCAATGTTTTCAGCAACAAGCTTCTTGATATGATCCTCCAGGTGATCTTTTTCTTCCTGATCCTTCTTAGACTCAGCAATCAAAGTATCTTTGCTGACCTGGAGCTCTTCCACGAGTGTCTGCAAGCTTGCTCTGGAAGCCTGCAAAGCGTCATTTTCCACACTGATCTTCAAAAGTTCTTCCTGCGCAGTATTGATTTCTCGTAGCAACTGCTCTCTCTCAACAGCCAGAGATTCCTTATGGAGCTGTTCCTGCTGATAAAGCTTTTCAGCATCTCGCTTCTCTTCTAAGACCGTCTCCTTTTCTAAATGAAGAGTTTCATTTACCGACCACAGTTTCTGCTGATCTTCCTGGAGTAAAGTTATTTTGGCCTCCACCTCTACCAGCTTTGATAAAAGTGAACCTTTTTCTAGCTTTAAAGCATTTCCCTCCTGTGCAAGAAGCTGCTTCTCTGACTTCAGACCCCTCAGCTCTTCTGACATTAGTTCAATTTCTTTTTTGGCTGATGTTAACAAATAAGTTAGCGACTACAGAAACAAGGGGTGGAAAAGAATGGAAACAAAATGAAATCAAGCAGACAAATGCGAGCCCAAATAACTTAATGTAACCTAAATCGTAAAAGGTTGAAATTTTTTTTTTTTTTTTTTTTTTACAATAAATGTCATAGAAACTATCTGGGATAACGAGGAGGGGGGAAACCAGATTGAAAGAGCCCAAAAAAGGATAATTAATACAAAGCAGGTTTAGCTTTGCAAAGTGCTGGTCTACATACTGGTTTATTTTTTCTTTGCAACACTTATGAAATCATCCCTAAGTGGTATCTAACGAGGCAAAAACAGTAGTTTGACTTTGACATCAGGGCATGAGATTCTTTCCTGCCCTTCCAACTTCCCAATTATTTCTACTGTAGGAAGAATTCAGAGAAGAATTTTAAAAAATACAATCCAGAGAACTACAAAAAGTGAGCATATTTTAACCAAAAAAGGGGGGGGGAAGGGTGAGGGAATATAAACTGTTGCTTTTCAAACTAAAAGACCTTGACTTTCTAAAGGACAGTCACTGACCTGATCGATTTAATCCCAATTATTACATATAACTTATTAAAAGTACAGACCAATTTGCTAGACTTTGGTGACTAAAATACATGGGTTTCTTTTTTTTTAAATCCTAGTTTATAAAGTGACTTGACCACATTATCTATACCAGCACTGTCCAGGACCTTCTGCAGTGGTGTGAGTGCTCTTTATCTGCACAAATATGGTAGCTGCCGATCATGTGTGTGGCTGGTGAGCCCGTGAAATGCAGCAAGTGCGAGTGAGGAGTTCGATTTGTAATTTACCAAAATATAACAAATTGAAACTCAAATTTAATGTGGCCAGCAGCTGGTGCCTTGGACAACACAGCTACAGATCCCTGGCTCTTCAACCAGGAAACACAGCAACTTTGTGGGCTCCATGAACCTCCTGGCATCTCATATAAAAACTTGTTGAGCATACAGATTTTCCCTAGGAGGGAAAGATCTTAAGGTTTCATCAGATTCGTAAAATGGTCTGTGAGCCACTATTGTTGACAAACATTAAAATCCACAGAAATCAGACAGAGACAACTTTGGAAGGGGAACAATCCTAATGACGCTTGTAAAAAATTAAAAATTAAAAAAAAATTTACAACACCAGTAAGCAAAATTAATGAGCCTTCACACAAACTACTGGAAAGCTATGGTTTGCTCAGACTGCCACATTTTAAGGGAAACATTAAAAAAGTGGAGTCTGTCCTGGTAAAGGGAAGCACAAAGACAAAAGATCTGGAAATTATACCCAGTGTTAAATGGCTCATGAAACTGGAGATGTTCTACAGGGAGAGGGTGAGGGTGACCCGGAAAGGAGAGAAGGTGTGTGTATACAGACATGGCAGGTGTTCTGTCATGGTCCAACTTAATTAACAAGTTTGAGGTGGGATTTGTTTCAAGTCTCATGTATGCTCTTATGTTTCCTTTATACTAATCTCCTAGACAAACATTAAAAATAATTAAAGACAAGTATTTACTTTTCTTTGAGCAAGTTCAATGATGGCAGGAAAAAGTTAAACACCGGTAGGACTGTTGAACTTCATTAAGTTACCAGAGTTAAAAAAATACACTGGGTTGCAGAGATGATCCTGATGCCATAAAATCAAATTCAATGTATTAAATTCTACTCTATTTAATAACAGGATTGTGCCTTCCGGGGACATACAGAAGCCCTCTCTAGAGCCCTCACTTCTAATGTGCCCTACAAGAGCCCTGCCTCTCCAGGGCTCACTAGCTTCACTCGGCCTCGGCCTGTTGCTTTGCTGCAGGACGTCTTTCCTAACCCCACTGCACGGTGGCAGCAAGACGGCCAAGATTAGAGGCCACAACAGAGTCTCCTGCAAGCGGGCGGAGAGAGTTCAGGCTACACGTGACTCTCTGGGACAGCTGGGAAGCCAGCAGCTTGGGGGTGGAGCGAGGCTACACGGCGCACTCAGGGAAGACCCGGACGGTAGCCACCCCTGAGCAGGGGCAGCAGCTAGCAGAAAGCACCGGAAGCCAGGAAAATGTAATTCGCCATCCTGCCATGTGCTCGGAGGTTAGTATCTATCTGTAAAGGTCGGTGCAACCCATCCCATCTGCTGCCGCTTTACATGCCCCACTGCGGCCGTGATGCCACGCAGCAACATGACCCTCTCCCAGAACATACTCTGGCTTTGTCGGCTTGCTTTTTCAGTTCCGCCATCTCCTGCATCAAGTCGCTGTTCTCCTCCTGCGCGGCCTTCAGCCTCTGCTCCGTGTCCGACAGCATCTTCTGCAAGCTCTGCAGGACAGCTTCATGCTTCGCCTTTGTCTCACAACTGGCTTCCTCGAACCTGGCCTTCAGATCCTGGCACTGGTTGTGGCTCATTTCCATCTTTTTTTCCTGCAGAAACCCCGAGGGAAGCAGTAAGTCACCCAGCCATATCTGCACCGCCCTCGCCTTCCTTGCCAGCACTTCGTTCCATACACTCTCTCCTTACCAGGTCCAACAACTTCCTCAGCAGCTCTTTCTTTTCCTCCTCATGCTTTTTAGCTGCTTCCTGCTGGCTCTGTTCTGCCTGGAGAGTGACCTCCCCAATACTCTTCTGCAGAAAGCTTGCGTTTTCATTAGCCTTTGTAAGTTTTAGCTGTAATTCTTCTACATTTCTAGAACAAGGTTCAAACAAAATGCCAGAGTTTTCAAAAAGAATGCTTTAAATTCCAGTTATACTTAGACAGATACTATTCATAATTGTATTAATGATTATAAGTTACGAGTAATTAACATCTGAAATAAACAACAACAACAAAAAAGGCCTGACTTACCTTGAAAACTAAGTTTAACAATTGAGACAGTTATAAATACATTATTTAGAGTGACAACTACTGTAATTGTGAAGGTTTATTATTTTATGTCAATAGATCAGTAAGGAAAAATGAATGAAAAGTAAACAGATGAGGAAATGAATTAGTTTCAAAAAATTTTAGCAGACGAAATTATCAAAAACTCATTCTAGTGCCCCTTGAGAACACAAGATATAAAATGACAAGTGATAACCTGAAGATCTAGCTTCGTGATACCAATGTGGTTCAACAGGACGTACAGAAGACGTGGGACACAACAGAACGGGCTATCAGAGGACTCCGAGAGTGGAGGAGGGAAACCTGGATGGTCCCTCTGGGTCGGGCACCTGTCCGACACCCACAGAGCTGGAGATCCCCAGGGCACCTGGGTAGCTCCCCCCGTCACAGCAAGTATGACCACAGGTGGCCAACCCAAGCCCAGTCGCCACCCCCCGCCCACCACCACGCTGAACCATGGGGGTGCATGGCCAGATGTAAACCTAACTGCCAACTAGTCACACTTCCAGAATCATGGGTCTCACAGACCTAAAATGTCCTCTGAAAGTTTCTGCCTTATGAAATAAAACATTTGACTTTTATCTGGCAGCTATTAAAAGAAAAGAATGATCAAAGCAACAACAGCCTCAGAATAAAGACAGGAAGGAAGGTGGAGACGGAAGCTGGAGCGCGGAGGGCCTACAAGGTAGTGCTGACAAGCAGCCGAGGGCTCTGGGACCAGCCCGCCCAGGCCCAAAACTGCAGGCAAGGCACTTCACCTTGTAAAGCCTCAATTTCTTTCTCTTCAAGATGGGAACAAGAATACACTCACCTCACAGGATTATTATGAAAATCAGAAAACATACTCTACTAGAGCTGTCTGCAGAGTGCAGGGCACATACCTAGTTAGCCTGTAATATGGGTTACCCTTCATTACACTGAAACAGGCTGCCCGTGAAAGATGTTCCTGCACGTGGTAAACTACTGCCTTGTCTTTACAAGCCATCAAAAACTCTACAATACTGTATTACTTAGAAGGTTCCGTAGCTGATTTAAGGGTACACTCATGTGGTAAGAAAAAGGAAGAGCGACAGGAAACTTTAAAACAGAACAATCCTGAATTTTGTCCCCCCTCCCTCCAAGACCCCACTTCAGAGACGAACCTAAGTCAGGCGCCCTTATAACCATTCACACACACCTTTCTTTCAGACGTAACTCGTCATTCATTTTTGTCAGCTGAGAAGAGTTATCTCCAGACATCTTCATTATTTCTGCAATGTCGTTCTCCAACTTTTCTTTCGCCTTTATCAACTGCTCTTCTCTTTCATCTCTCTCTCTAAATTTTGCCTCCATATCTGAATATATAGAGAAAAAAAATAGCACCGTAGTGTTAGTCAACAAGTTTATTGACTGCATCCTATACTCCAAGGTTTGCTCTGGGAATATTTGCATAAAGCAATCCCTGCCCTCATGAAAATCATATTCTAGCCAAGACAACGGACAATAAACAAGATTAAAAAAAAAAACGCAAACAGTATAAAAATAGTGTTGATTGCTAGAGGGAAAAAATACAAGCAGAGAAAGGAACCAAGGAGTTGGGGAGGCTAAAATCTAGACAGGGCCTCTCTGAATGGTGACATTTAAGACCTGAAGGAACTTAGGGAAAGCAAGTGCAAAGGCCCTGAGGCACAAAAATGCTTGACTTGCAGGTATTACCAACAAAGCCAATATGGTTGGAGTAGAATGAACAAGGGGAAGGGTAGTACGAGAGGCCAACAGAGAAGTAACAGGGCTTGACATTGGTAAGACTGCAGTTTTTACTCTGAGTGAGATGGGAGCCACTGGGTGATCTCGAGCAGAAAAGTGACATGACCTGACTTAGCAGAAGGATGGCTCTGGATGCTGTGCTGCACATGGACTAAAGGAGATGAGAGCAAAAGCAGGCAGAGCAGGGGGCCAGCTGTTACAGCAGCTCAAGTGAAAGATGATGGTTGGCTTGAATCAAGGACAGTGGGAGGAGTGGTGATGTGTGGGGGATTCTGACTTGTTTGAAAACAGGGCAGAGAGGATTTGTGGAGGTTACAGACCTCAAGCAAGTATTTTATCGCATTATACCATACTAACGAGTGAAGAAGTGACCCCTGAATAGATGTTACTGTAACGTATTACAGTTATCTCAAATCCTAGGAAACCTACCGTATTCAGTGCTTAGTAAGCAGAGACATCTTACCTGTTAAATTTTCTCTCAACTTCTCCAATTCAGCAGACAGTGCGTTAAACTGTTCCTCCTTCTGGTGTAATTTATTTACAGTTTCTATTGGGGATAAAGGTAAAAGTTTAATATATTTCATACTTAATAAGCCATCTAGAGGTTGGCAGTCTTACAACCAAATCAAATCACATGCTTGGGATTTGAGAGGATAGAAATACTAAAAAGTCCCATTACAACTTCAAACCACTGTGTACTGACCTAGAGAAGCAAGCATGCATCTCTTTTTGCCTCCCCACATCTGTGGATTAAACAGGCACCAGGCATCCCTTTCCAGGCCTCTCTTTCCTATTTCCAGCTAAAACTCAAAAAAGCTATCAATGACTAAAGATTAAGTAAGATAATATTTTTCTCAAGGATACTTAAATTTTTACATGGAACAAGCTTTTAGTCACAGATGGGAGTCTGAGGCTTCAGGAAGCCAATGCACTCTGGCATTACTGTGTGCTGCAGAAGCTTCCAGAAGCATGACATCAGACTATAGGAGAATCTATTCCCTGTACTCCAGAGGCCAGCTCCAGCTTGAGCACCTGACACTCTCTAAAGCCATACTTAGTAAGACGTACCTTGCATGCTTCTCTGAATAGAGACCGCCTCCTCCGAAGCATTAGCAAACTTTTCTTTCTAAAATTAAGAATGGGATATTCAGAATAGAAAGATATCAAATTATAGAAATAAAAAGTTTCAATCAGTTATAACTTCAATACTATCTACTTTTTGTGACTGATTTTGTCTCATTAAAACTTATACTTAAAACATGTAGACACCAAGTACTACCATATGTATACTGTGCATGTACTTGACACAGGGGAACAGGGTTTACATCTATGTCCTTTCCCAGGCATGCATGTACATCTGTACATGTGCGTGAACGTGCATACATATGTGCTTGTGTATACATGTGCTACGTATGTATGGTTTTTTTTTTCATGTCGCCACCCTCAAGTAGCGGAACTCCTCTTCAGAAGTCGGCCTGTGACAATGGTCAGAATTCTGCAATGTTTTCTATCTGAAAGTAATCAGAGCCTAATATCTTGAAACTGTATCAACTACTTCTTAAACCAAAAAGGCCCACCCCTCACCTACTCTTTTCTAAACATGACAGTAAATTTAAAAAAATAACAAAATAAAATAAAATGCTCTCCTGGTCTTCCTGAGATGAATTTTGAGCTGGACACACCAAGAAAAATTTTCAATGACTATTTCTAACTATTTAGGATCATGAAAAAAAATGGGCATACAAGCAACACAAGTCCACCAAAGCCCAAAGGTTGTCCCCGTGTTATTCTCAAAGCCAGACTTAGATGGCAAATTTTCTCTTCAGAATACACAGAGGGTATGCTAATTTACAAGAAAAGTAAAGCATCCTCAAAGTTTGAGGGGTGGGGGAGGCAAGGCCAGAGAAATAGTATGGAACTCAAAACACATTTTTTTTTAAAGGACATCATATTAGAAAATCATGATTCCCGTGCCAACTTGCTCTCAAAATGTAGCTAAAATACTGTATATCAAAACTGCCCAACAGAACCATCCATCATGATGGAAACAGTCTATCCTGTGCTGTTCAGTATGGTAGCCACTAGCCCACATGCGGCTTTTAAGCACTTACAGTGTGGCTAGTACAACTGAAGAACTGAATTTTATATTTTATTTAATTTTAATTCATTTAAATTTATATAGTCGTATGTGGACAGTACCTACAATAATGAACAGTGCAGCTATACATTTGACATTTGAAAAAAGTAGAAATTCATAATACTGGCATTTAAAAAAAAAAGCAAACATTCATTCACCTCTGGTACTAGCGCAGAAGTTTAATAAGCGGGAAAGAAGAGTGTATATGAAGGATCTAAGACAAGTGTCCCCTCCTAACTCATGTTTCTCTTTCCCAGTTTCTCCATAAGCCTACGATTCTCCTTTCCCGTGCCGTGTGCTTATGGTTGTCAGCCTTGACTAAGTTCTGTTTCTGATGCAGGAAGAAGGGAGAACAGTTGAGAAAAGGTAAGGAAAAAATGTCTTACGACTTGCGATTAAGGCAAGAGGCTGTATGTGAAAAGAAATGTATTTTGCTGAGATGGAATAAACCAAGCTGGAAGAAACGATCCCAGACTTCGCTGGGTTAGACGGCGCTGTGCCGTACTAATGGGGTGCCGATCGGGGTGCTGATGGCCCCACACAGCTCTCCCCAGCTTGCTGTCACAAGGAGGCAGAAGGCACAGCCTCACCCTCATTACAAATGAAGCCCCAATGTGCTGGGTGTGTAACTGGGAAGGTCCCTGTGTTTAGCAAAACTAACCAATCATATTCCAAAGCAGTGCATTTACCAGGCAAAGGATAGTTTTAGAAAAGGAAAAGGTAATACCTACCTTTATTGCTGGTTTGGGTTTGATCCCATTCCCTTCAAGGTATTTATCAGCCAATGACTGATACACTCAACTTAAATCAATACTTTGAAAGAGAAAGGGAAAGAGGTGCAATGCTTCTTTCTTTATGGAGATTTTTGTTTTTAAACCAGGAACCATTCAAATGGCCAGAAACCCTGAGAGTCCAATTCCCAAGAGGTACTTACCAAAATCTGAAGTTCTTTTTCCAAAGCCTCTTTCACTTGACTGACTTCACTCAAGTTTTCCTGAAGGCTATTGAGTGTTAGCTCTTTCCCCTGCAGCTCCCTGGTAATGCTACTAGCCTACCGTACAGAGTTACACGGTGCAGAAGCAAACCAACACAAGGAAACAAAAAAGAATGAATGAGAAACAAAAAATAAAACAAACAAAAAAACATATGAGAAACAAAAACCACCAAATAAAACTGAAAGGAATAAAGGCATGGGTAAAAAAGACAAAACAAAACTGTCTTTTTTGTTTGTTTTTTGTTAATTCTAAGAAGCCAATGGCTGTCCACAATCAGTTCTAGATAGTACAATCTAATAACTATTTAAAATAGTCAAAAAGAGTATTTTTCTATACCAAAATCTGGAATATCAGCATGATCTAAAGCAGAAAGTGCAGATGCTTACTTTCTAAATGGGTAAGTTAAGCAACTTCATTTTCTGGACTTTAAAGGCCATCAAGCAGGAAGAATGGAGCCATGTGGCCTGTGTTATTTCCTCTATATTTGTATGTGCTTAAAGTAGTTCAACATTTAAAAAAAATAAATTTTAAAATGCACTGAACAGTAATCAGAAATTGGTTTTCATTAAATCTTGATGTAAAAAAAAAAAAGTTGACGAACTTTTTTTAGCTACATATTCTCTACTAATTAATTTTTGTGATTTGGCTGTTATTTCGGATCCAAGTGAGGAGACAGAGAAAAACTTCCTGTAATTAGCTTGTCATCTTCAACTGAGGTTACTTAGCGATTTTTCAGTCTGTCCTCACACTTCCCCCATCTAACCTTACAATACTTTGCCAAAGCAGCTTCTCCCAGAAAAACCTCAGAACATTCCGCATCAGCACCAGCACCCCCATTAGTGGCAGGAGGACTGGGACCATTCATTCCTCAAACAGTCCTTAAAGATGAAGACGACATTTGACAAGGCTAATTAGAAAGGGATGTAGCTGGCAAATGTTTCATGCAATTTCCTATGCCTTGACCAAAAGCATACTTGCCCGTCTTTCCTCAAAAAGGGCAGGGAATAGAACCCGTCCTCACTGCAGCATAGGAAAAGCCCTCCAATGGGACAGAAGCGGCGATGCAAAGGGCTCCAGGCTCTTAACCTTATTCCGCTGTATTATTTATCACCGCGTGTTAATTTACAACAGTCACGTGGTACTCAGCGTCCACAGTGTTTGTATACAAGCGTACGGATGGGACAATGGTGTAAATGGAAAAGGAGGAGGAGGTAATCATTAAGCTTCTTTCTTGTCTGTTCCTTCGTTTACCTTAATACTATCATCTTAGCTGAGTTCTCGATTTTAAAAGAGATTACAGGGGCAGGTGGGTAGCTCAGTCGGTTGAGCATCCGAGTCTGGATTTCGGCCCAGGTCATGATCTCGGGGTTGTGGGATGGAGCTCAGCGGGGAGGCTGCTTGAGATTCTCTCCCTCTCCCTCTGCCCTCTCTCCTGTGCATGCGCACTCATACTCTCTCTCTCTCAAATAAATAAATCTTTAAAAAGAAATTACAGACTAGAACCAAGCTTAAACAGATCACAGAGCATGTCCCGAGAGACAAAGTCATAGAGTACCCAGATACTGGGAAACCAAAATAAGTTAACCTAGTCGGGCTATTATTTTCTCTAATCTCCTCAAATGAAACCATGCTCAAGATACTCAGAGGACACTGTACGCAACCAGGAAATCTACGAGCACCAGGCAATCTGCTGTAAGTAAATCGGGAATTCGGAAGATGAATGAGCTCCACTCAGAAGTGACACACAACGCAAAGTGAGACTGACAAAATAAAAGGATGAAGACGCCAATACAAACCTTGCCACTCTCAGTATTCTTTTCAATCTCTAAATTTTTAATCTGTTTCTCAGCTGCCTCAAGCTGCTGTCTAAGTTTCTCGATTTCCGATTTACCTTCGGAACTGGCTTTCTGAAGTGCATCGAGATCCAAGAGCTTTTCTTCAGTAGCCTTGAGCTGCGATGTAAAATTATCAATAACCTTGGTTTGCTCACTGCATTTGGCTTGTAGTATCTCTAGCTCCTTTACCTTTATTTCAGCTTCCTGCAGTTTGTTTAAGGTGTCCTCCATTTCTACTAGATGCTGGTCTTCCACTTTGTCCAGTTTCGCCTTGACAGCTTCCAGGCTGCTCTCCTTTTCTGTAATGACCGCCATCAGCTTACCTCTGAGGGCTTCTATCTCTTTAGCGTGAGCAGACCTTTCAGAGTCTTGTTTGTTCTGCAGAGTTTCTATTTCGTGCTGGTAATCTAGTCTCATCTTCTCTATCTGTGTTTTTAACTCTGCAAACTCTGCCGTCTCTGTCCCGACCCCCTTACTGAAGGACACTTTCAGCTCCTCCATTGCCTGCTGGTGGGATGCGATGGCCGTCTCCAGCTTGGACTTCCACAGGGCTATCACATCGGAGTTCTCCTTGTTGGCATGATCAAGCTTGCTTTTCAATGACTCGTTCTCTTTGGAAAGCTTCTCTGTGGCAGCCTGAAGAGCCTTTATCTCCTTCTGATGTGTTTCTTCACGGGCTCCAAACTGCTCCTTCAGAGAAGCGATTTCTCTCTGGTGGTCAGTATGGGCGGCTTCTAATTTTTCTTGCAAAGAGCTTATCTCTTGCAAAAAGGAGAGTGACATGTCAACATCCCCAGCAGGTTTATGGGACTCTAGCCTCCTCCGCAGTTCAGCTACCTCCTGTGCTCTCAATGCTAGGTCTTTTTCTAGTTCCATTATACGGGACTTTTCCGACACTGTAGCCACCTAGTAACCGCAGTCCAAAGAAAAACAAATCAGGTAAATAAACAATCACTGACGATTTTCTTTAACCTTGAAGATCTTTAATAACTCCCCCACCTCAGGCAGCCGTCGAGCTACTGCGAACGCCTGCAGGCTCACCCACCTCTAACTGCCATCATGGAGGAAGCCCAATTCTGAGAACTCCAAAGTCATCATCTTTGGCAAACTTCCACCATCCTGAGATGCTCCAGGAATCGAAAACTGAGATGGAATTTAACTTATTCCAGAATTATTTCTTTCTCCTCTAAAGAAACTTAGAGAAGTGCCCATCAACTGATAGTAAGTTAACAGAAAGAACAGCTTTCAAAGTTCTCAGGTATGTCCAGCTGAGGGGAGGCTTGAGGGAAGACAGAAGCCTCCTCATTTTACTTGGTTTTTCCCTCCTCTGCTTTACCCGGCATGTGTAAATGCTCACTTATTTAATGCAGGTGATTTTAAAGAACTGTGCTACCTGGTATTATAGTACACATGGCTACAGAGCACCAGAAATGTGACAGATGCTGTAAGGGTAACATAGACAGATTTTGAAGACTTAGGGGGAAAAAAAAAATAAAATATCTTGTTAATTTTTATACTGATTACATGATGAAATGGTATTACTCTGGATAAACTGGCTTAAATCAAATATATTATTAATTTTACCTGTTTTTTTTTTAATCTACTAAAAAAGTATGTTAATGTGGGTGGCAGAGAATTTTCAATTATATATATGTGGTTGGTATTATACTTCTGTGGCCTATCACTGGTATAAAAGGTGTGAAATTACCTATCAAACGTTTCAATGAATCAGCTGTAGAATAAAAGCTTTAGCTGGATAATGAAAAAATAATTTACTAACCTTTTGTTAGAAAGACAAAATAAGAACAATTACTTACCTGCAGTTATATATATGAATCTTTAGAGAGTCCCGCCTTTTAGATTTTATAATTCTATTGGCATTTTAACGTACATTATCTTGTTCCCCTAACCCAGTGGTTCTCAGACTTTATTATGCAGATCAATCTCCTGGGATGAAGTCTAAAAGGCAGGTTCCCACTTACTCCCACTGGATGTTTTGATTCTATTTGAGCTCTGTGAGAGCACCCAGGAATCTGCTTTTTTTAAACACTCCAGGACTAGGAAAAACACTTTCTTAACCGGTGTCCTTTTATTCTTAAGAAATGATTTCCCTCTGATACCTGTTAGCCAGTCAGTGTAGGACACAAAATATGTGGGGATCGGTCGCTTCAGGCATAAAAGTGAATTATTGGACTAACCTGGGAAAGAAAAGGGAATGTGAATGATTTAAAAACAAATTTCAAGGATCAAAACTCCTCCAGGTTGAAGGCTCCTCTCCCTCACTGCCTTTACTGGGACAGAAAGTGATGGATGTGTTTCCTTCGCTTCCTCTGTCCACCTACAGGCTGTGATATGGACAAACACTACCATGTCCACAAAAGGCTAGGAAAAGAAAGCAATCGGGTCTCTGAAACTGCAGGAGGAAGTCATTAAACTATTTCAGAGCCGACTGTAATTGGTGTGCTTCAGCGTTAGAGATGCTCCAAGTTAAAGATGTTTATGTACTTTTTTCTGGGGCAGGGGGTGGGGTGTCCAAGAGTTTGTTGCCACAAAGTAAGGTATAAAACATTAATGAACCCCAATGCTACAAGGTCTGGAACATAAATAAATCCAATAGGACAAGAGTTCTTTATTAGTCAATGTCAAGTAAAAAACAGGTGGAAAAAAGAACAGCATGATTACACTGTAGCATTTCCATAGCTCTTCCGTTTTTTTGTTTTACTTCCCAAAGTCTGCCCTCGAGCAAAGCTATGTGTCTGCCTCTCCCACCAGGGTGAGGCCATAAAAGTCAGGTATCATTTCTTATTCTTGCGACTTTCTCCACGCGGCAGCAAACACCCTGCTCATAAACTGGACGTACTGGCTCAGGGGAATTCTAAAGCACTTCCTAAAAGGTAGGCAATAGGAAACTCAAGTGGCTCATTGGCTGGTTTCACACTTGGCCCAAGCAAGAGTGAGGATCAAACAAAAGGCATGACTTCTTATAGAAAGAAAACAGCTTGAATCTGGAGTAGTTGGATAAACCAGCTGTAAATGATGCCTCCTTAACCATGGGGCGGGGTGGGGGGGGGGGGAACCCTCCAAATTTTTTTCTGAAAAAAATAAAAAAAAGGGGTTCAGAGGTTTAAAAAAAAAAAAAAAAAAAAGGAGATATATTTCCTTGCTTCAATAGCCATTTCCACTAAAGGAGCCCAATCTTATCATCAGTCCCTTATATTTCCCAGATCAAGTCTTTGGCTCACAGGTAACAAAGAAACATCACCAAACTACCAGGATTTTTTCCACCAAATACACAGGAGATACCTTTACTTTTGAGGCCAACTGAGAACATTTTCTCTCCTCTTAAAAAATAAAAGCTTATGATTTAGAGAAGAAAAATTACTCAATTTTCTAGATTTTTAGATCAGTCAATGATTTCTCAATAAAAGAAATTTCTACAAATACTAATAATTCAAAAGAAAAAATCAGGATACCAAATTTGATCAGAGACAGTAATTTTTAAAATTTTATAGTTAAGGATCTGGGCAATTTAGCCACTGACAGTCAAATTTGTGATTTAAAAGGTGTATATATACACACATGTCCTCTTGTATGTTAATGACTCAGATTATTTATTAAATTTTTCAGCACAGAACTACCTCTGTAACAGACAGACTCCATCCTGTGGGGGTCAAGAGCACAGACTCTGGGGCCAAATGTTCTAGATACAAATCCTGGCTCCACTACTACTATCAGATGTGTAACCTTGGGCAAATTATTTAACCTCTCCATCCCTTAGCATCCTCATCTGTAAAATGGGGCAATGCCACCACCCGCCTCGGGGTTGAGGTGAGATCAAAGAAGGTGATACTGGTGTGGTGGTCAGAACAGTGCCGGGCACCAAGTAAGCACTACCCAGGTGCTTTAATACATAAGTAAGTGAACACGTGGCCTACGCATTGGCTCCGAGGGCCAAGGACAGCGAGCTGGGGTTGCAGGAAGCCCTTCTATTCTCAGCACACTTTTCCCTCCTGACTGCCGAGGCTTTCAGCTACTGGTGACAGAAAGGAGGGAAATGCAAAGACAGATCAGGTATCAAGAAAAAAGGGTCACTGGGATGAAAGTCCTCAACTCTCATTCAAAAGAGCCAGTGTTTCGATTTCCCCAACAGGTCAGGGAAGAAGGCAGGAAAAGAGAGGTGAAGTCAAACAACAATAAAAAAAATTCTTCAGAAAACCCTGCCCCTGGGAAGATGGGAACCAGAGGACAACCGGCTGCCCACGGCGGACTGGAGAAACGTGTTTTGAGGAATTAACACCAAGAGCCTCAGCTGTGGCTGTGGGTGTCCATGCAGTCCACCTACAGTGTAGAGTTTCTGATCTTGATTTTGGTTGAGTTAACCAAAGGAATGATGAGTCTTTACCTTGGACAAGACTGCATATGAAACACCTGCACCTAGCCATCCGTCGACACTCATGAGCACCTGAACGGCACCAAGACCAAACTCAGGTAGAACCACTGGGTCAAGGCTCAGGCCAACTGCACGGCACGTCCCCCGAGGCGTCACCATTCCCAAACACGGGTCTGCTTCATTTAAACAGTGAAAACCATTACCCTAGTGTCTTCTAACTCCCTCTGGAGTTTGTCAGCTTTGGTCTTTTCAAAGAGCAGGCTCTGTTCAAGCTCCTTAATGCGGGCATGCTCCAGTTTGGTCTGCGTCTGTTAGTAAAAAGGAAGAGGAAGAGAACACAACAGTGCCACCATGACATGCCAGCACAAGAGGAGAGAGAGCGGCATGCAGGCTGAGCCACCAGTACCTTCCGCCAGAGGATGAACGCAAAGGGAAATGGCAAAGGGCAGAGGATGGGCTGAGATGGGGAGGCTGGGGGTGCGGATGAACACTACCGGATGAAAGGATGAGGTGGGCGGGGGACGCAAGCTAGTCTACTCAGAAAGACACAAGTGGAAACACATGAGGCAGGATGAGCAGTGTCAGACGCGTGCAGCCAAATATAAGTTATATTGATAAGTGAGGTTGATCAGCACAAATTAGAATCGTTAATATTCCTCTAAACTATCATTTTCCCCCTCCCCACAACAGCTATTTGACATTACTGTGTATGTAACTGACTCAGTGACTTTAACAAGTAAATTGACCCTCAAAATGACCACTGCTATCCTCTAAATATGGCAAACACAAGCTCATAAGTCTTACAAGTGTTCAGTAGGTCCCTAGGGCAGATCCCAGCGCTTTGGTGTACAATTTGATGTGAACAAGCATGAAGCGTTAAGCCTAATGAAGGGAATCCAGACACTAGAGCTGAGAAAATCACACCAGCGGCCTTTGCTGAGATGAGTGCAAAGGGTCTGGCATTCTTAGCAACGTTTCCCAGTCCCCTAGTTTCCTTCCAACAGTGGGTTTTCCAAAAACTATGTGTCACCAAGGAAAAAAAGGATGGAGTCACACTTACAGGAGGAAAACAAAGTAATAATTCCGTTTGACCGCCTCCATCTCAGACTCAGATCAGGAGAGAAGTTGGGAGCTGGTAAAGGGCTCATCTTCTCCATCTTAGGATGACGTCATTATCAGCTCAGGAGTGAGAAATGGGTGACTCAGCACAAAGGCCTGAGTTTGAACTCCATGCAAAAAGAGCTGGGAAGATCCTAACTGTCTCAAACCTTCAGAGACTCCCCATCATCATTTAACTTAGATGTAATGTGACGGAGAACCCAGAAGGCAATCTCTTTGTAACAGCACAGTCTTAACCAATGGGAAATAATCTACATACCAGTTTGAACATACCTCTTTCCCCCCACCCACCTCCCCCACCCAAGAGGTTATCTGCAGACCCAAGTGACAAAACCTAGGGACAGCACTGCTCCCGGCAGCTTCTAGTCACTTACATTAATTTAAATATTTTGTGGTTCTAACTGGTCAGATCTGTGTCTGGACAATTATGGGCAACGCAAAAATGACAACAAACTCTAAATAAAGTAACAGAAGGTGTGCAGAACTTAAGTAGAGGGTGGATCATGTTACGTTATAAACATCTTTTACTGACTCCGATGGTCCTCTAGGGATTTCAACACATAAAAGTGCTTGGTGTGCTTGTGAACCAGGTATAAACCATTGTGGAATATTTGAAAGGTGAACAAAAAAAAAATTTTTTTTTTTTAATTTCTTCATCTGCTTCAGCTCTATACACTCAACAGAAATAATGAAATAAAATTCAAAACCTAACTGTCTGGACAGTCCCCTTGGTCCAGATGTGCCTTAGAAAGAAGTTGTTCAATTTACCTGCTTTTAGAAGAAAAGAATCTAACCCAGATCTACATAATTGGGGTCACAGCCTCAAGAACTGAAATCCAAAACTTAGAGTAAAAAGCAAAAGGCAACAGAACCTTCCTTCACCTCCTGACACTGAGTTCAGTGTCCTCTGGGTGAAAGGTCACTCCTTCCAGATAAAAAGCAAACATCCACGAATGTGATCTTCTTCCTATTCCGCGATCTCCCAGATGACTGCAATACCTCCTTGGGGCCGGTACGCATACAAACCATCTGGGACGCGACAGCTGGCTGAGCGATCAGCTTCCATGCCTCGGTGTGTGGTAAAAACGTTACACTGGACAGGACAACCCTCCTTCTAAAAGGACTCCTTTCTCACAATAAGACAGAGCATCCCAAGAGGGAAGTCCTGCAACAGGGACTGAGAGGGAAAGCAAAGGCTCTGCGAGAAGCGCACAAGAAAGGCAGGAGGGAGGCCCCATGCAGACTGACACCGGATGCAGCGGGAGCCTGTTTTGGGAGGAGAGAAGAGACCCAGATCACTGAAGTAGCGTCACAAAAAGGAAACCTTCAGAACGGAGGCTTTTTAAAAGTTCGGCCTTAAGCTATTTCGGCTGCCAGGAGGTGGTAGGAAGGAAAACCTTTGTTTTAGTTTTACTCTCTTACGGTGGTAAAACAAAGCCAAAAGTTGTGAGGTTCTTTCAGCTGGCCTCACAGCCGGCCGGGTGCCACAGGAAGTCCTGCTTCGGAGGCTCTTTAGGTGAGATCTGAGTTGGGTGTGTGATCTTCATCAGAGGGAGGAGGGAAAAGAAACACCTACATTGCTGGTAGCACGGCTACTAGAAAAATCTCACTTCGATAATAATAAATTTAAAGCACATGGCGTCTTCACTGAACAATGCCCGTTTCTAGTTTCACCAACTCGGGAAAATCCTGTAGCCACAACACGTGGACGCTTGAGCTTCTTGTCACCTGCACCGGCAGGCACTGGCCAGCAGGGGGAGCTCACAAAAAGGCAGTCGCCCTCAGAAGGCCCTTCTCTCTCACGGGAACAAAATTAGACCACTTGGGTAAACTGCCGCAGAATTTCTCTAATTCCTTCATCTTATGTGTTTTAGGTTTCAGTTAGCTATCCTCTCTTTTAGAATGATTCTATTAAAATGAAAACACATTATGAGTTAAGTGAAGAAGGGCCAGGCCCCTAAACAAAATCCTTTTTTTTTCTCTTTCTGGCGAAACTCTTTATAAAGCAAACATTTGCTTATGCATTAAATGGATTTACATAGCTTAATCATTACATACAATTTCTTCAGGATACAAATTTAACTGCTCTGAAAGCCACATGCACAGAAATATTAAGGTCAATGTCTCAGGTCAGATGATGCAGTTAGTATTTGAGTATATCAATAAGCATTTTAATCTGTCATCAATCTGTGTTAACAAGGGAAATCTCCACACAGTTAAGTGCCCTCTTACATTCTCAGGATCTTCAGAAATCTGGCTCTTTTGCTATCAGTAAAAAAATAAAAAAATTAAACAACAACAAAAGGAGAGATTCCACTAAAGTTCTGATTATGTGGTGAGGGTTTCAAAACAACTCTGATGAATTTCAAGTGAGTTTACCAGAGCCTATGCCGGCCTGGTGCTGATGGGAAGATCTCGCTTGCCCCGCCCCAGCACACCCTCAGCCTTGCCCCGCCCCAGCACACCCCCCACCCTTCCCCCCCCCAGCACACCCTCAGCCTTGCCCCGCCCCAGCACACCCTCAGCTGTGTCTCACATGAGGGATATGAAACTTCTAATGAGACTTCGGGGTGTTTTTAGATGGATGAGAACAACACGAAAGTCAACTAAAGGGATGTGACCGTATATGAAATGAGCAAAGAGAGTAACTACCGAATTATGAATAATCCACTAAATTCCGGGCCTCATAAAACTAGAACTCGGAGAATGTCTTCCTTCCTCCTTGTCAATAATAAAGACAATTTCCAAAGGAATCAGAGTTCCTATGTGGAAGGGCCCCTGGAATGGAATCATGGTGTGGGCTGCCAATAGGCTCTGAACTTGTAACAGCAGCAAAAATGTATATTCTGGGAACTGCACAGACAAGTGCAAGTTTTACTAAAATATTACAGATTAAAATACCAAAAATTTGCAAAATTTGAATAATTTCATAATTCGTATTTGTCATATATCTAGCAGTGGTTTAAAAATCATCAAAATCATGTAAATCTGGCATCGAATTAAAAAACTAATATGAGTAATTGTTAAAAGATGAGAAACTTGATGCTGACAGAAATCTCTGTGAATATAAAATACGCCACAGAAATTAAAGAAGCTGAAATAAGAAATCGCTCTTGTTTTTTCTTCAGGTAATCACTTTAAAAAATCAATTACTAGAACAAGTATTTATTCCTTTTACAAGGTTATAAAAAATCGATCCTGCTCAACTGAAAAGCAAAGCTGAGATAAAGCACAAAACTTTTTTGGGGACTACTTTGATGAAGTTAAAAATGCTCCTTACAATGCCATTTCTGATCATCAGAGGAACATCTAGAGTCTCACCTGGACACACTGCCAGATTTATGACTTGATTAACTCCAATTCAAGGTTTTGAATTTTGAAGTGCAAGAAAAGAGTAGTAAAAATGTGACTGGGACACTGGAGTCGGGACAGCAGAGTGCCAGGTCCAAAGACCCACTTGGGCACCTGAGCTGTAGCCACGCCCACAGCCCCGCCCGACCCAAGCCTGGGGCTCCCTCCATTCCCTCTGCTGCTTGTTCTGGCCAGTGATCTCATCCATATTTGTGAATACTAGTATCCATAAAAGCTGTAGAGCGTTGGATGAGTTTTACCTCAAGATCGCCTTTTGTGATGGATTCTTCCTCAACCCGGAACTGAAGGTCCTCCACCTTCCTGTGGAACAAAATCAAAACAGAGCACTTAAGTAACCAAGGAACACATCTGCCTTACCGAAAAAAAGGATCTATAATCAATACCCTGATGAATGTAACAGGTGATGGTGGAGGAAAATAAAGAAATGCATTTTTAGGCATCTGGCTTAGAAAACAGAGCAAGAGCTCTATTCTATTTAGGAAACTTCAATGTTTTAGCCAGGTACTGATTCCAAGAGGCGTGAGGTAAGAGTTGAGAAAAACCACCTAGTTTCCCTTGGTCACAACCAACAGAATGAATCTAATGGAGACAGGACCAGCCTAAAGGGAAAAGGTCTAATTACCACAGAAATAGGTTCTGAGACTTCAAGTCTGTAATTTCTATCTTCCAATTACAGAACATAGGGGAAAGCAGCACAGAAAACGAATCTCTCTTTATACCACCCCACGTCGGATATGTTAGGGTGAGACTAGGGGGCTACCCATGCAGAAAGCCCCAGGAAAATACCAGTACCTGTTCTAAGCCTGGGAGAATAAGGTTATGAACAACTTGAGTTACTTTTTTTTTTTTTTCACATTTTAAAAATCTTTGATTTGGGTGTGGGTTTCAATCAATGCTGTCACCAAGTCAATGAAACAGGATATCCTGAAGATTTACAAAATCCAGGTAACATCCATGTTATAAATCTTCACAAGTTTGAGTGTAAGGAAGAAAAGGGGACAAAGTTCATAACCTGTCTGCAAAAACCAAAACTGTCAAACTCACTAGCATGTCTGGGAGTTAAGAAAAATTCTACTCTGTGAAATCAGAAAAATAATCATAAATAATTTACACCCCTCAAGCTCACTGGAGGGCTGGGAGGACATTTCTCCTGCCCAGCAGTCAGCAGACCAAGAGCTGGCTTAAGAGCCGAAGCAAATGGTGCTGGTGCCTTGGCATTCAGGAGGGCCTAGAAAAGGCCTGTTGCTATCTCTCATTTATTTGTACCCATTTTTAAGATGCAAAGAGAATTTCCTATGTACAGTGTTTCTTTCTAGTGAGAAAATCATTTCCTTGGTAAGAGAATGTATTCTATCTCTGCTATACCCCTTACCACAGCAGCGCAGCCCTGACCATCCTGAACTCAGAGACCATTAAGTTGCTGCCATCAGAAAGGACAGAAGAAGGCATCAAATGCAAGGGAGGACAAACGTCCCACTACCCAGGAATGTTCCAATGGTTTCCATGCAGACACCTTTTTCAGAGATCGTGTTGGTTCACAGCCTCAAGAAACCTGTAAGAACCAAACTTGTTTTCTGTCTCACACAATTTAGCACTCGACTCCATCCTGATCTAGATGATGCTCTAACTGCTTCACATGGAAGTTTTGTTTTCCTAGTAAGGTACTGAGTTTCTCAAGGACAGCGACCTGGTATCACTGGTGAGTGATACAAAGGTGCAGTTTTACTAGATACATGGAAAGTGTTTCACAAATACTAGATAATTTGGACCCACAATGTCCTCTCACCAAAAATGGTTCCAGATGGAAGCAGGGTTTGAATTAATCTCACGACCCTGAGGTCATCCTCAAGAGGATGCTTGGCACAGGCAGGGGCTCAATAAATAGCTGTTAAATGAAGCAGGGTATGTCTAGATGATTCCAAACTTCTCAAAAAGAAGTCAAATCCAAGCGAACCCTCTTCATGTAGTACAAAGAGTTTCATTTCCACTGAACACACAGTCTAAGGGCTGGCACCTTAACGAGAACGTTTTTCTAAGGTGATTTAAAAGGAAAAGGCCACACTTGCGCCAAGGAACAGTTTGAGGTCACCTTTTCTCCTCTTCAAGTTGGTTGAGAAGCTCCACCTTCTCCCTGTCAGCAGCCTCCACCATTGTTCGCAGCTGGTCCATCTTGGCCTCCAATTCCAGGACATGCTGGGGAAGGCAAGGGTGTCAGTGAGTGGCTTCTCTCTAACCCGGACGCAGGCCCAGGGATGCCTCCAAAGAGCTACACCTAAGTGGTACCACTGTGGGTTGGCATGACCCTAAAACCTTTTCGCACTGAAATGCTTTCTACGATCTTTAATTAGGTCACTTCTCGGCCGCATTCCTGGAAACTAGATGATGAAAAACCACACCATTAAAGCAACAGAGGGCAATGTTAAAACAACGCTCATCTTTTTTTGAAGCTGAAATGCATACAAAGGATAATCTACAAAACAGGAGTTGCCACCGTGGGTAAGGTCCTAGTGAACAAGCTCCCCTGACAGGGGCCAAAAGACCCAGATGTAAAGACCGAAAGACTAAGGTCGACTCAAGAAGAACAAAACTTCATCTTTGTAACAATACAAAGTGGTACCCCAGGTCACAGCTTCAAACAAGCCCAGCAAAGACATTTCTGCTCATTTCTAGTGCTCCCAAGACTAGCTCCCCGGCTCCAAGCACCGGGTAAGCTGCTCCGCCTTCTCCCTCAACTTAGAAAGCACCACCATCTCCACAGGGTCAGCTCAGAACCCATCACCATCTCTGAAACGAGGTCAGCACGAGACTTCACCTGGTCGTGTCCGTCCCGGGCCAGAGCTAGCTCCTGCTCTATCTCCCCCACGTGGCTCGTGGCCTTGGCCACCTCCGCCCTCTCTAGATCCCGTTCAGCCAGCAGCTGCTCAATGTGCTGCTGCTTCTCCTTCAGGGCCTCCTGGAGGGCAGTGGTGCCGGAGATCTTCCTGGCGTAACGGGAGGAGGTTTCAGTCAACTGCAAAGGAAAGTTAAAGACGTGAAGGGCCATGATGCTTTCGGGGATGCAAGGAGGGCGCAAGGCATGCAGGCAGGCGTCTCCTCAGCAAAGCAAAGGTGCGGCCCCAGCTCCCAAGCTTGCCAGTTACTAGGAAAAGCTTCTCCTCAAGGAAACAAGACAGCATGTGCCTCCCGACTGAATATCACAAACAACACATCAATGTAAGAAGTCATGGAACAATCAGAAAGATGGTTAGAAGGAGAGTAAGCGGCTCAAATGAAAGGTACCCTGAGCTCAGGTGACAGGGCCTTGCTGGAGTCTAGAAAAATTGCACAGAACTCACTTAACATGTTTCTCTAAACTCCATTTCCGTCCAAGCTTCATTAAGAGGTATCTCCTTCTTAGGACGTCTTGGTCTGTCTTTTCCTCCCCAGACTTGAGGTTGAGATTTTTTTTCAACTTTTTAAGCTTCTAACTACCATTAAGTAACCAAGAGGTCACCCTTGGAGTCACAAACCTTCCTTGTATCAATTAAACAGTTGGATTTTGTCAGGATTTTCTTCATCTTTCTTTCAAAGTGAAAGACACAGATAAAAAAGAATGAAATTTTGCCATTTGCAACGATGTGGATGGAACTAGAATGTATTATGCTAAGGGAAATAAGTCGGTCAAAGACAAATGCCGTATGATTTCACTCATGTGTAATTTAAGAAACAAAACAAATGAGCAAAGGGAGGTAAAGGAAAGAGACAAACCAAGAAACAGACTCTTAACTCGAGAGAACACCACACTGATGGTCACCAGAGGGGAGGGAGTGGGGGGAATGGGGGAACGAGGTGGTGGGGACTAAGCAGCACACGTGACATGGAAGTGTTCAATCTCTGTGTTGTACACCTGACACTAATGTAACACCGCACATTAACGAACCGGAATTTAAATAAAAACCTAAAAAATATGAAAGGCACAGGAGAGCTCACCCAGGAATCCAGAACTCGAAGACCTGAGTCCCAATCACCAGAGAGATTTCTGAAGATCAGGTTAAGAGGGAAATTCTATCTGCCTTCGGAAGCTGGGGTGGGGGGAGGCGCGGCGTAAGTGTGCACGCAGGTGTATGGGAAAGGGAGCAAAAGGACATGCAGGGAGGAAAAAGAGGGAAAGAGAAACTGGGAGAAAGAGGAGGAGGGGAGGGCAGGGCAGGGGAGGGGAAGGAAGACGTGGGGCAGAAAGGCGGTGGAGGGAGGGTAGAGAAAGAAAGCCGTCCAGGGTCCCCTGCTACTCTGTGCTGTTTCCCATACCAGTTCTTCCTTCTTGAGGCTCATCATCAAATAAAAACACGGAGAAAATAACCTCCTATCATGGTAATGGATAACATAGGCAAGTTGAACAGCATTCTTCCAAGTGAGGCTCCAGGGATTGGGAGGGAATTCAGCAAAGGCCTCCCATCCCTTGGCATGCACTTGTCCAAGGTCACTGACATAGAGACCTGATCGCTGGATCCGGATCAAGTGGGCCCTGACTTCATCTCCCGCAATCAAAGCCTCCTGTGCCCCTCGAATGCCCCCTATCAGTCAGAGCCCTCGTCCAGGAGGCAGAGTGAGCATCTGTCATTAAGTACTAGTTAGGCAATTTGAGGGACGCCCGGGTGGCTCAGTCGGTTGAGCATCCGACTCCTGGTTGCAGCTCAGGTCATGGTCTCAAGATCAGGAGCCCCACATCAGGCTCCTCGCTCAACGGGGAGTCTGCCTGACATTCTCTCTCCCTCTGCCCTTCCTCTCCCTCCTCCCCCGCTCTAAAATAAATCTTTTTTTTTTTTAAATAGGCAAGTTAACAACTATTAAGAGTAAAGGAATCCAATCAAACCCAAATTGTCCTCTGCTGTTTCTATTTAGTGAAATTTCTTAAATTCCTTGAACATAAGGGGGGAGGGGGGCTCTTTTAACCATCTGGCCCTAACTTTCCAATTTCATTATATGGTTAAAATTATACTTTCTCATACTAACACTTCTTCTTGAATGCATTAAATCTGAGGTTCCCTGTGCAGAGATGCCCCGGGGCCCTGCAGCAAAGTCACAGGGCACTGTGGAATATTTTCACATTTCAAGGGAAACACTGCAACACCTGCTGGACACCATACGAACTACCAGCTTGAGGCAACTGAGTCCGAGGCAACTGTACTACATTCCTTTCAATAATGTTGCATCTTCCCAAAGCTAGGTTTTGGCTGCTGCCATGACAAAAAGCCAGTATTGTGCAAAAAAATCAATGTGTCACAGGAAATGAGGGTGGCAGTGTTCAGGAAGATTCCAAGGTTTGACAAGGATGTGCAGTGCCCAACACGCACACACAACCTAATAGTAAGTGTGGTTATTTAAGAATGAACCAAAAATATTTTTTCTCTCAGTTAATGTGTATCATTCTTTTCGAACAGCTACTAAATTGCTAGAACATAAATATTAAGTTGTTTGGACCTAGTTGCTTAATAAACAGAACCGCTAGCTATTTCCTGGGCCCAGGGCTATTATGATAAAATAACAGGCACTCAGGTGCTAGGCAATCAGAGTTTGGGCACCTCTGTGTCAATATTCCCAGAGGACCTTTTGCATTAAAGAATCATTAGACATTTTCACATACATGCATGGGATTATGTTCTAGGAAGTCACACCTTCTGTATTTTTGGCATATTCTTTTATGATGATTCTTGGTTTAGAAACTACAGCCACCCGCATCTACAAAAACAAGCTGTTCTACAAGGTAAGGAGACTCCTTTCTCTTCTGTCCCTCTTCTTCACTGAGGGAGGTGAGCTAAGATGTATCAGAACTGGTCGGAAAAGAGGAGAGATTGGGAAAGCAGGGGAGAGTTTAGTTATCTTCCAAAGAGATGGACACTTATAATTACAACATAATAAAAGTTAAGAAAGAATTCCTAATCTAGAGAAAACACCTCCATGGACTTGCTCCTGGATTAGCAAAGTAGACTGGATGTCCATATGAGTTTGCTGAACGAGACTTTGTCCAAAGAGGAGTGGCTTCACTTCTGTGTCGTTGTTCTTGTCAAGCTTTTCTTGTCAAAGTCCATTTGTAACTTTTCTGCTGAAGATGGAGACTTTCTTTTCATACGCAAAATGAAAAAGTCCAAACAGGTATTTATTTCCCCAGAACTTAAGAGAAAGTCCAGCTGGCTAGCAGAGCAGTACTCCCCCCTCACCCTGCACTTGAAGGAAAGATTCCTCCCCTTTCCCTTCCCAGAGGACCCAAGGACCACGGAAGAGAAGGCAAAACGAGACCAATGGCCAGCAGCCTTACTCCGGATCACACCACTTAACATTCTCCCCGCTGTCTGTAGTTTACCGTCATAACACAGAGACCCAGTGCAGTGCAGTCTTACAAATCTAAACAATATTTGCCTCACTTCAAGTAAATAAATTTACTGGCAGGAGATGAGCCAAGAAGTCATTGTTTTGACCCTATTAAAACGCCATATTAACAAACAGAATGAGCCGCCACTGCCTATTTTAATCCTGATGATTCTATTTTTACTGATCTAAATGGGGAAAAGGGGGAGATAGGAAGTGGAAGGGAGAGGAGGAGATGGAGAGAGGAGACAAGACAAGGCTTTTCCTAGCATCCTTTCACGTTCCGCTAGTTCCCCTCTGTGTCCTCTGGCCCAAGTCAGGAACACTCCACATATTAACCGCTTTCAGTGGGTTAGACTCTATTAACATCCTGCTGAAATTCTAAGAACATGCCTTTTCTCAAAATACTTTAGTTCCTCCAATCGTTTGAAGTCAGAGAGACCGAGGTCATTGAGGAAAAGGATCCCTCCAACTTTCCTGTCATTCCTGTGCCCAAAATAATTTCAAAGAAAAGAAATCATCCCATATGTTAGACTCAACAGTAGTTACTACAGACT